TGTGACCACAGAAACACATAGACCACACCCTCTCAACTCAAATTAGCTCATCAGTGTGAGCCTTAGGTTAGGGCCATCAAAAAGACCAGCCAAATAATATGAAAATCCAGGAGGTAAAGAAATGAGCTGGGAGAATAGAGGAAAAAGGAGATGTTATCTCACAGAATAACAGGCTAATCAGTAAATATGAGAACATCATAGATGATGTGGGAATAGTGTGGAGAAGAAAAAAAAAACAGCTTGATCATTCAAACAAGAGGCATGAAAAATGTATCAAACAACTAATGCGTTCTTTATTTGCTCTCAGTTAAATTATTTCAACCAATATATCCAAAGAATAATCAAAGAAATGAGCAGAAATGAAAAAGACAACCACTATACTGTATATTGCCATAGAATATAACAACTCATATAGTTAATTATTGTATCAAACAATCTCAAATACCCAGAATTCATTGGTTCTAATAAGACAATGACAGTAGCTCTTGTGTAAATTCAAAAAACAGTATCCACTTTGCTTAAATATTACGATCATCTAGTTCTTTTAAAGCTCACAAAGAAGAAATGTGGTCTGATTCAGCTGCGATTTCCACTTTTTCTGCGGTGCAGTCCCTCCCCCTTTGGCTGACTGGTGACGCTCAGTCCGTGAGCAGGGTCATCTGTCCATTCATCAATGATAAGAAAAATAAAATAAAAAAGCAGATAAGGCTCCCAAACACGTGGACTCAAGGTGGATACTAACAGAAACTGGAGGGGGGCAAATCACTGTGCAGTTTAGGCCTATACATTAGTAATGGAAGCTGTACAGAGAACGCTGGGACAAACTGACACTCAAAAGAAATCCTGGTTAAAGTTGCCCAACAACCTTCTTAAAGGATAGGACTCTTAAACTAAAAGAAAGCAGATAAACAAATACGGAAGATGTTTTTGGATGGACACCTCCATTTTTCCCTTTTATCAGTTTTTATCATCACATCAGGGCAAGACAGAAAATGAATATACAGTATCAACGTAAGATGTTCACTAGGATCCATATGAAAGGAGGCTGCGACAAATGATTGTGTCATTTACTCTTTTATCTATGTTTATTTGATTATCTTTTTTTTTTGTCTAAATGGGTGGTCATGCAAATAGAAAAAAAGACAAGTCCTTTAAGCTTTTAGCCTAGTGGTAAAAGTTGATCTCTGGGCCAGTTTGCCAGTTTGAGCTCAGACTCTGTATAGTCGAAGTAGCCAGTCAACTAGTACCTCCAACCAGCTTCCACCTAACTGTGCTTTTCCATTGGTTTGGCTCAGACGCCTCACCTTCTATCTCTACTGCATCTCGTTATTCGGGCAAAAAAAACATTTCTGAAGTCAACCAGTGAAGCTTCCAAGGACAAAACCAGGCAGCTACTGTAGCAACAGAGTACTGAATTGAAGGAGGTTGACTAGTTGTTTTAAGGTGGTCTGGTATATCGATATCATTGCTTGATGTATTCTTCTTCTGCCCTATGAGCCGTAAGTCAAAGGTAAGTGAAGGATCAACTGGCATCGAGATTAGGTCGATACTTCCACGTATCTAACCGCTGAAATATCCTCTGGACTTCATAACAGCTGGTGAGAGAGCAAATTACCAATATGAGATACTTTTTTTCCCAACTTGGCACCTTGTTGAATGAACTGAAGAGGCCCGATGTCCGCAGATACTCATTGTTTAGATGTCCACGATAATTTCAGTCTTCCCTTATTGTCTAGTCCATGCATCGGTGTACCACTTCAGGTTTTTACAACCGGTAAGTTGTTCGTTGGCTTTCACTTTCATGGTCAGTAACCAGCCCCAAACCACAGCGTGGGTTGTTGTGTTCTGGATATGTCTGCGTGGGGTCTGGGGCTAGTATACCATGGCGAGATTGAGGCGGCCTCGGAAGCCGTCCGCCTGCAGTCTTCTTTGAAAACCAAAGCAACGCCAAGTCTGTACAAAATCCAACAGCCCCCGAGGAACAAAAAAGCTGTAAAACATCCAAATCTATCCAAAGCTGTCTGTAAACCGGTCCGTATTCCTTCTACCAGATATCAGAGCTTAGTTCTCTGCTGGTGAGTGGTACGAAGGTGCTGTTCAGGTGGAGGTCTGGCTTCTTCCCAAGTGTACTGCTCTGTGGCACCTGGCAAACAAAAAGCACCACAGGGGTTACCACAAGGGAACTACAGGATATAATCTATAGCTAGAAGAGAAATAAAGAAATCAAGATATCATTAATCGTACTGTATACGTAGCACATTATGTATTATTACATAACTACGCTGTGCCAGGTTTTATGTAATCTTACAGAATATTTCTAATTATTGTTCTTATTATTGTCCTTTTTGTTTAGAATAAATATATGAGGCTGGAAAATATGCAGATATTTTCTTTCCATGTTTTCTTTTATCCAAACAGACCTCTTGCTCCCCAGTGAACTGCTCTGAACCCCTGGGGAGAAAAGACGGCTTTTATTTTCATTCGGTTTAAACACATGCAAACAAACATTGAAGAAGGGTACACTGTGCACTACTTGGGTGTCAGACACAAAAGGAACAATAGGATAACGAGGGAGGCAAGTGCTGTTTCCCACCTGTCCGTTAAGCAGCGTCATAGGGATGTTGCAGTAGACATGGCGCCCCCCGGGGCCGAGAGTGGAGAACTGCACGGTGGAGGGAGGTGGGAGGGGAGGCGACATGGAGGAGGGCTGTGGGGGGAGCTGGAACTCGTAGCTGCGGCAGAAGTGTCGCATTTGGGCCGCCGTAGCTGTGTGACCCCCTCCTAGTGGCAAGGTCATCTGGTTGTAGTCAGGGATCTCTGTTGCCAGGGCAACCTGTGGATTACGAAAAACAAAAACGAACAAAAAAAACAACAAAAAAAGACTTTCAGACAGTGTTTTTATCATAAGGAAATTTGTAGTTCCTTTTGTTCATGAATGAAGAGTGAAAAAAACTAATTCTGAATTGTGAGGGCTTGACTTCCTTTATATTCCTGCTTATCATTCCAGTCTCTCCAGCATGCCACAATCTGTTTAAAGGAGGCCTTTATTGCTGTGTGGATTCACTTTGACCTTCGTCAACTGCGTAAAACTACAGAAAATATCAATTGCCAACTACAACAACACAAACAGACAGAAAAACAGGAACCACATACAGGTAAACATCTGTAAAACTGATTTGATCTAAACTCCTCATCCAGGAGATGCTTGTCTGTGACTCTTCACACATATTTTCATCTGAAAACAATGATCTTTTGTCTCTGTTTGATTCATTTTTTAAAGTGATCACCAGAGATCTCCAAAATTCTTCCCCCCGCACATACCTAAAGAAGGCTAACAAGTCAAGTTTATAAAAGTTTTTACGACCCATAAGCGTTCCTTGGGTTCTTTTGCCCGACTTTGCGCTGTTTCTCCTTTGATCGGTGGAGCTTTTGACATGACGACTCGGGGTTTGTCTTTACTATCTGACACCGCTCCTTTCAGAGACAACAAGGCTGTGAATATCGGCATCAGCCAAAAGTAAGAAGAAGCTGAATTCACTGACCTGATGATGTCCGTGACGGCTCTCATTGGGAGGCGCTAGTGAGGCAGAGGTAGTTGTCATGGCAATAGTTGAGACGGTGGTCTGTAGGTCACCAAAGAGGCCCTGCTCACCGGAGTCCATGACCTAAAAATGATCCGAAAAACTTAGATATGTCGAAAGAACTTCATCATCATGATTTGAACATAATGTTTGGATTACTCCAGGGAAAATACAGTGTGGTTATCACTTTCCTGAGTCCAAATAATCACAAAATAATTCCAAATTCATTTTGTGGCAAAATCAGTGTCCTTCCTTAAGTACACCTTTTTATTATAGAAACAAAAGGAAAAATTACATATCTTAACACCCTAGCAAGTAATCAGTGAGTCCGGATCAAGGACAGGCTTTTCTAATGGGAAGGTGGACCAGAATTGCCTTCTGCTGTGTAAATTGTCATCTATTGCTGGTTTAAGATTTGAGTTCAAGACAAGTTCAGTGCGCTTGCTCCTTGGTGCTCACAATTTTGCTCACAATCTGCTTCATGACCACCTTCCGCTAAAAAAAACAACTTAATTTAATATAGCTTCTTTCAAGATGGTGGCCTAAAGGTAGTCCCCAACACCAATTTTGTGAAAGGATAATTGGATATGCCATATTCCCTTTTGTTTCTGAAATAAAACGATGTCCCATGACTTTTGAACCTCCCCATTTATGTAATGAATGAACCCTTCAAACTACTGCACACACTTAACATGGGAAGACAGAGTTTAATGAGAAGGAGTTTAGCCACTTCTTCTGAATACCACCAGTTCCAATGATTTTTTTACAGGTTACCCTTTTGAGAAACATGCCTCTTAATTTTGAAATGTTAAATCTAATTTTGTGGTACAAAACATGTTGCTTGTCTTATTGCAACACTTAATACTGATAGAACTGGTAAAGTGTGTGATGTGAGTACAGAAGAAACAAACATAGCTGAGACATGACATTGTAGCTGATCAAATTTAGGGCTGCAGCTTTAATTCAGTTCTTCGTTCCGAGGAAAATGTATTGCTTTACTTCTGCCACTTTTGCAACAAAGATGTGCTCCTTGGCCAACAAGCTGAAATGGTATCTAGCTTGGCTGCGTTGTGTTGCTCTCAACCATGAATTAACAACAACCATTTGACATCCATGTCTGATCCACTGAATCCTCAAAGCCCTGGATCTTGCACTGTTTTGTGTCATGGTCTGTGTCCAACTTAAGTTTTGTCTGATGCTGTCCTCTGCTGGCCACATGATCCACAACTAAGGAATTAAATGCTTACAGCAAACTTTGGCTGTACTCATTGTCTCGCCTCAACTGTGATCATCAGACATCTAGATTATGTCATTCTGAGAGTTCAGTATTGTTGTATTGCGCAACCTCTTCTTGCCTCTCTCCCAACAAGCAGCGGGAGAGCATTCATTTGATAATCAGGACACACACCTCCAGGGGTGTTCATGCATCATAAACATGTACACAATTTGCTCAGATTTGAATATATAACCTATGTTTAGCAGATGTTGCAAAGGCCTTCTGTCTGGCAATGGAGGTATGCCCTCTGGGGCAGATATCTGTAGGATATTTAATGTGTTTTTTCCTTAAAAGCTTTGTTACTTCTTGTATTTCTTTGAAATAAGTAGAGTAATTATGCCAATATTACGTTTTTTATCTTTATTGGAACAGTTGGATTTTTGTATGCAAATTTCTGACCTCTTTTTGTATCCGTGTTAAATATACGAACAGATGGACATAAATGAAAGTCCACTCTGTTTCAGACGAATTATGTGACATAGCAGGAAACCAGCTGGCCCCTACCAGGTCTTAAAATTTGCTTAATTGGTCTCAGTTGATCGACCAAATATTGCACATTATTTGCTAAGCAAAAGTTCCTGAGGAATTATAGGACAGTCAGAATCACTCAGTAAATAATCACTTCATGTTATTGCTGTAAAGATGGTGTAATATGGCATTTGCTGCTTTTCATCTGGAGTTGGATTTACCTACTTTTAAGATCTGTTAATACTCAGATGAGTTTATATTAGATTTCAAGTGGTCAAACTTAAAAATTGAAAGAGGATTTTCCTTCTTCATCACATGTTTGTGCAAACAAACATTAATCTCACATTCTTGTAAATTATGTCATACCTGGCGCCTGGACAGTGTCTCTCTGCGTTTAGCAGGCATCTCATAAACCACCTGCTTCCAAAACTTAGAAGACAACTCATTGCTCTTAGGACCCTTCCACTTAATGATGGATAAAACCTTATGATAGGAGGAGAGAAAGATACAAAAGTCAGAGACTCTTTCCGTATTGTCATCTTCCCTAAGAAGACATATCCTGCATACCTTGATTGTATGTTTAAGGGCTTCCACTTCCTGATAGTTGATTACATTCCTCAGGTCTGCGCACTCTATCATGATTACCTGCACACACAAACACTTTATGGTAAAGAAGCAACTCCTCCAAAGGTCTCTTTTTACATCCCATTACATTTATCTGTGTGTTTTTCCCCCTTATGTTAGCCCCGTTCTTTTATTGGAAGCCTGAGAATAAACTAGAGAAATGATCAGAGTACAAATGTGTCATTTATTCAGGTCACAGGTATAGGTAATCAGAGTTGGGCTCTTAACTGACAAATCCCCCCAAGGATCTCTATGTGAAAAGAGCCCTGAGTTTGGGGTTTAATGGACATTCATATGCTTGGGCTGGCCCAATGCTTCCAGAAAAACTGGAAACATCTCAGTCTTATTGGCCAGTACCCTTTGACATGACCAGGAAAGCTCCCAATCCATGCACATTCCACTGAGATGTGATAAGAAATGTGTGTTTGAATGTTGTCTTGGAAGATGTGTATCTAGTGTCTCAAAGAAAGAAGAGAAATTTGGAAGTACAACCAGAGACATAACATGAGTTCAGTCTGAGTATAACTCTTACAATTAACAAAGCTGTAACAAAGTAAACTCTGAAGTTAGCCAATCCTAACACCTTAGTCCTACCTTGATCTCTCCAGTAACCAGCATGGAGTGGAGGCGTGTTTCTATCTGGAAGATGCTCCATCCTCTTTTAGCGACAAATTCTGGGGTCAGAACTATGATCAGACGTCTGCTTTGCTCCACACTGCGCGCCAAGTCCTCAATGTAGGCTAAAGAAGAGAGACATGGCAAAATTGTGACAAAGCCACACAAGAAAAAAAATTAAGGAATAAGGTATGGTTATTATTCGTGTTTTCGGAACTTTTTAGGACTGAATAGTTAGGCTACCAGTGTAATCCTTTTCCTATAAGATTCCACGAGGTTGCACGACAAACAAAAACCTGACCGTAAAGAACCACTGATTTTGAGAACATTATAGTGTGTTCCACTAAAAGTTTGACCTCTGACTTTCTGAATAGAAACATCACACACTGGAACAAACCATAGTCTCAGATTTCTTAATGAAGGTCAACAACCTCAACCTCAATATCCAACATGGCTGCCAATAACATAAAAATAGCAATAGCTACAATAACTTGAATAATTTTATTGATTTAAATTACTTTGAACTTCTTTCAATTTATTCAATAGTAAATCAATCACACACACAGTAATCTCCAGACGCTATCAGTGAACACATTACTTTGGCGTGAGCGGAAAAATAAACACTGCGATGACCTTGCTAATGTATTCGACACAGTCACTAGTCACAATGAGTGAATCCGACTTGTTTCAGAACGCAGCTAACTCTTTTTAGCCTCAACTACTGAGTTGAAGACAGAACCTGAAGCTAGTATTTTTGGATTAGCATTAATGGAACACTGCATTAGCGTATAAACTATTCCCTTAAGCTAGCAATAGCTCTAAGCTTTGCATTAGATGCAGCGGTCAAAGTCAATCTTTGATACTCCCAGCGGTTGAACAGTGCATCAAAATGTTGAATTTTTAGCCAGACATTGTGGTATACCCTCTTTTTATCCTTCATCAAACTTCATTTGCACACATCAGCTATACTAGCAGGCCGATCAATGAGAAATAAGTCATGTATTGTACATATGTGCAATTTGTGAGACCTCCATCAAACCTTTGCAGAGTTTGTGAAAATGGTAATCGCAATTACTTCACAAAAATGAACAAAATGAAAGGATAAAAGATTTAATTTTATCCCAGAAGGAAATCATACAAAACAAAATTATATAGATCTAAATACTGAACAAAGTTGCTAAACTAAACAGATTTGTATTCACTTTAAAGAGCATGGAGAGATACCACAACATTAAGAAGAAAACAATGAGTAAAAGTAATTATCTATCCTTGGTGTCTTACATCCATCATGCGTCCCACGTTATTAGTGTACAATTGTCCAATGCTTGTACTGACTGACAGCAGTACAGCTGAGTAACAGGATTACTTGTGTGACATGTTTGGCTCTGACATTGCACAGGAAACCAGCTCCTAATGCCAGGTCAGAATTGTTTAGGATATACCACCAGTTTATCCAGTTTAAAGTCTGGAAAGCAACACGTCATTGATGATCCAGGGTGGTGATGCTTTCTGTGTCGGTAGGGACAGGACCTTTATGCCCAGTCTGGTGATACTAGAACTTTCTTTAATGACACGTTTATTTTGCAATGTTCTAAGGGTTGATTTGTGACACACACAGTGAAATTGCTCATTATTTCTCTCTGAAGGCTAAGAGCACCGTGAACAACAGATTCCCACACCATCTCCTCACTTGCTAACTAAATTAATGACAGAGACACTCAAACAACACACTGCAATTTCACGCTCAATTTGAGAGGCACAAATAGTACAGAACATCCCCCAATTCGTTTTTTCTCATCTCCGCTTTGCCATTCCATTGTTCTTTTTATTTTTCTCCTCTCTCCTTCCTCTGTGTACCCTTCATTTCCTTTTTCTGTTCTACATTTGGCAAAATTATGTTAATCAATTAATAAAATAACACAAACCAATGACCCTGTCCCTTCCTCTTTCTCTTCCTGTTATTTATTCTGTGATCTCTGGCTCACTTTTTTGGGGCTAAGTGGAGTGGATAATTTAATATCGTGCTCAAGGTCACATCGCTGTGCTGCTTTGGAAAGGCACCACCATCTTCCTCTGTGGTACACACTAATGCTTAATGTGTATGCTGCTGAAAATTATGCGTGTACTTCTGCACAATGGACATTTGTTTCTAAGGGTGTTTTCAGGGCAAAGAGACGGAACCTCTCATTGGGAGAATAGTGGCTCTTACATTTGTTTTGGAAGCATTGCAGCGCGTTGGACTGGGGATAATTTCAGCCGGCGGCAGGCTATGCAGAGCATAGTTATTCATTATGAAGCTCAAATGAATGCATTTGTATTTTTTAAGAGAAATGTTAAACAATGCAAAAGAACCACATTCATTTGGTCCTTTCAGCCATATTGCATGACGACTGTTGCGATTATGTTTTCTCCTTAAAGTTTCTTTTAGAAGTTTGAAAGATAAGGAGAAATGCTATACTGTTATTTCCGACATGTTAGCACATTTTAAACTAACCTATTATACATTCATTTATAATACTGAACACACATAGAGATTTTAGTCAAACATCTTTTACATATATCTAAGCTGGAGGCATGTCACACGTAACAAAATAAAGAGATATTTAAAATTGTATGTCTTATCTGTTGTGTTGTGGAAAATATTGTTTTCAGAGTCCCAGCCATTCTGAAACTATGGGGTGTAGAGACAAAAGACATGTCTATGAGGACATGGGCAATAAAACACAAAATATAAGGTATACCTTTTGACAGGTTTTGCTGACTTAGGCATCATAAATCATGACATGAGCAGGCTTTAAAACTGGTGCCATGATATAATTTCATCATCTGCCCCCTGCTGGTAAAGAGAAAGCTAAGAAACCACTGAATTCACATCTGTTATCTTTTCCAACGCTGGTGCTGGCTGATGTGGCAGCAAGCTGCAGAAATTGAGCCATCATGGAGCCCAATGAGCCAAGAGCCGTCTGTTTATACATGAAACAATGGATCTGAGGAGGGCAATTACTCACCGTCTGAAAGCACCCTTACATTACTGGCATTAAGAAAATAAAGGGGCTTGTGTGTTCAACGCTCTACATATTGATAGATACAGCAGCCACAGCTATGTTACCCCAGTACAGAACATGTACAGAAGCCCCATTAGGGGGACTAAAAAAAGGTGTAAAAGGCTACAAAATGACTGATTGTGACCCGACAGCAACAAGATGGAGCAACATTGCAATGTTCATAACATCATGTGTGTGTTTTCCGCGTGCATGTACCATATGGCAAAGATAAATCTTTGTGGCAGTAAGTGTGTTGATGAAGGTCAACACTCATTTTTATCTATTCTGACGGATTGATGAATTCTGGGTATTGGGGATTAGGGCGACCTACAGTGAGAGAAGACATTGTTTCTGTGCATGTGCGCAGGAGGGTGGGGAGGAACCAGTTGACAAATGGAATGATACTTACTGCTGCTAGGTATTAAATCTCTGTCTGGTATGAACAGTTTGTAGCCGTAATGTTTCTCCAGAACGTCCGGCAGGATCTCCAGAGCGAAGGTTTCCTCATCGCTGCTTGGCCTGCTCAGACAGCAAATAAGCTGTAAATAACACATTTCCTTTGAAATACAGAACAGTCTAATCCAATGCTTGTGACAAAGTGGTTCAGTATATGTTCACCATTTGTCCCTTATTATTTTGATATATTTATTTTTGTAATGGATAATGCTTAGATTTAAACATTAATGCAACCTTGCTTCATTTACTATCCCGGGTTTGTTTGTGTTGATATTGGGTTGCAGTTTCCATCTATTTATATGTTTAGTTTAAAGCTACCACTTTTGAATTATTGGTTGAACTTGTAGATTCTTGGTATTTGTGTTTCTTTTTATTTACCATTCTCCCTTGTAGCTTTGCAGCAGGTCAGGAGTGTGCCGGCCCATTGCTTCCTGTTGAATGGCTGAATGATGTCACTGATTACCTTGCTGGGATCTACCAATTAGGGGGTTTTCTAGTATTGCTTTGTTTGTTCTTTAAAGTAACTTTTGAGTTATCTTGTTTGGCAGGGTTTATTTTGTACATTATTTTATTAGGATGAGTTTGTAAATTAGATTAATATTATTCTTGTTTTTGTTTAGACTTTGTCTTTGTTTTGTTGTTACCTGTTTGATTGTGGCTTGGCCCAATTATGTGCGGCTGTGTTGCCAATTGGCTTTAAAAGGAAAAAACAGTGTTTGTGGGGGAAAAAAGGAGAGAGAGCAGATGTTTGTCATAGGAGGAAAAATAAAATAAAATTCTTCAGAAAACACTGGAACCTGGTGATTTATGCAGCTTGTTTCGCTCACTTTGAAGACCCTAGACCACACTATCTTACAATGCTTTTCATGGACTAATGTGAAAGCCGAACTTTTTGAGAAGGAAACCTTGCTATATACCTTCATTTCTATGTCTGTGTCTATGGCCTTCATTTGATACATCCCCTCATGTTTTATTTCATCCCTAAAGTTTGGAATAAAAACTTGATATGGTCAAGTAATAAGTCAGAATATAAAAAAAAGCTGTAGCTGTACATAAACGTTGATGTTACGTACTGAAATTGAAAGCTGAATCATTAAGAAATTGGGGGAAATTGGTGAATTCATTATTAATTTTTAATTGAAGACAAAAAAGTAAAGTAGAAATGTCTAAAAGGTAGTGAGCTCCAAATCTTACAAGGTGGAACCTCCATTTTAGACTTTTTCTTTGGGTGCTATGGGAGGTGAGAATTAGTATCAATGACCTCACTTCTCACCCCTATACAGGATTATTTCTCTTTTTTTTATTTTTATATTCTTATACAGGAAATAGTGGGAGTCATCTGGTCTATCCCTACTTTTGCACATTCATGAACATGTACAAAAAAACCAACCCCCCCCCCAAAGAAAACAGCACTTGTACAAAAGATTAGGCTCTTCTGATGTTTGGTCCTGTCCATCAGGCAGCTGTAATGCTTCCCTCTTCAGAGCAGCACACAGCCAGAGTCATGTCAAACAGCCCACTGACTGGAACAAATTACCTTCCGAGTGCCTTTAAAAGTTGTGCTTGGAGTTCTGAAAGCCTTTTTTACTCTGTGTGTTGCTCGTTTTTACGAATTCAGCTTATAAATCAAATCACATCAGAGCGTGTGTGGAGTTTTATTCTGCTTTCAGCGCCTGAAAAAAGCATCAGCAAAGTCCCCGGTGGGAATCTGACCTGCCCAAAGAGTCGAGGTCCACTTTAGTGTAGGACAGATAGGCGTCGTACTCCTTATTATCTGCGGGGAAAAACGGAAGACACATAGGGCACATTGAAAAGACGCAAATGTGACAAAAATGGCTCAATTTGCCTCCTTCTTCCCGAAACCGCCGCCTAAAATTCTTGATCCTCCGCAGTTTGTGCCCCACGTGGTGGCTCTGTCAAACCCATCCCCATCGCTATCAGAAAATGCTTACCATCCTCAGTTTCATCGCTCCCAAAGTGCCTCCTGTAGCAGAGCATGATCTCCAAGTTGTAACACTTATAAAGAGCGGTGAGGACTCCCAGCAGCAGCAGAATGACCCCGAGACCACCCGCCAGCTCCAGGCGATACATATCTGTCAGAGACACAGCAAGCAAAGGATGGATGACGACCGCGATGGGATTGATTTCAGTAAAACGCTCAGAGGGACACCAACGGCTGGAGACATTAAAGCAGATAAACACTCTTATAGTTCTTATTGGCGGGGCTACACTTATCTTTTCCTTGTTTTGCCAAGGCAAACCGACTTGGATTGAAAATAGATAAAGGAGAATTTACCTTCAAATTGCGTTGTCAGTGTGGGTGACGACGAAACCCACATTATTTACTCGCACAGACTCATAAGGAAGCCACTGATATCGCTTTTAAATTGATCCCCCCCCCATAATAAGAGGAGAGCAGCATTCAGAGGTATCTCAATCAGAGCATTTCAATCATTCCAGCACATCTCTTTGGCAAAAAACAAACAGAAAATCTTCGAATTGTCTTTACACGCACAAAATGAAGCAGATAACCTGGCAACCAGATTCTGATTAGTCGTTTCTATGACTAGATTCTACCTAATCTAGTAGGACTCTCTTCAGACTTAAAGAAGGCCTCAGTTAATGTTTCATGTTAACTAGAGCTTAGTTATTCACACAGTCCGCTGCTCCATGCAGATCTGAAGTGGTTAGTTATTTTCCGATTGAAACCAGAAGCATTTAAGCCCTGACGCCCACTTGTGTTTGGGAGCTTTTTAGATTGATAATAGAGGGCGGCATGTTGTTATTTCCTGGGCACAGTCTTTTTTTGACAAAGAAAAGTGCAGCTTCTTGCCATTTTTAAATGATTATTTTGTGGTGGGATACTTCAAAATGGTTTACCGATGCTCAGTGAAGGGATCTGTGTGTCTCTATGCTGTTATTCCAATGTTAATTTCTATTAGCATCTAATGCTCTGAGCGTTATGCAGTATTTGAGCTAAAGAAATTGTTGATTTATAGTTCCAGTATAAGCCATTTATTCGATCAGCGCTGTAGACAACTCTCCTTCTACAGTGTGCAAGGAAGGAGGTTGGCATTTGCAGGCTCAGGAAGAAGGATTAAATTAAAAGATTTCATTGCGATTTGTTAGTAATGCTTTCTCTTTTTATTGGCTGTATGGATGGGATTCATATGGAATTTGAAGACTTTTTTCTATTGATAAATTGGACTATACGTTCTAATTTTACTGACATTATAGGCTCTACAACCCTAATTTTCTTTCAGGGTTAATAATTTAGAGTTATTGTCTGTCGCAGGTTACACACACTGATTCGCTTTAAGTTGCATTTGCTGAAGATGTATTCGGAGCCAGAGGAAGGCATGTGCAGCGCTGTGTGTTGCTTAAGTCCACACAAACTCAGCCGCATCACAAAGTGTGTTGTCTCAGAGAGACAGATGAAATCACGTCAGCATGTCAGGCACACATACGCAAACCCAGACTTGAGTGTGTGCGCGGACAATGAATGATAGTGCCTTCATGGGCAATATGAGTGTATGGGAGATTAATGGAACATGGCTGGTGAATGACACCATGGGAAATATGATCTATTGCTGTCTCCCTCTCAAACACACATAAACACTCCTGGACGCTCGGATAGACGCCAAACTTACCTCATCCCTAACTTCTCCTGGAACCACTTCATTTCAAGACTGCGGCTTATTGATTGTCCAAATGGTGGCAGGTAGCGGTATCTATGACCCTGTGCTTTTGTGGAGCTTGAACTTTTGTAACCGGATGAATAATATGAATTATTTTCATATAATCTGACGTCCCCCCCCCCGGCAGGCAAAATCTCATCTGATGAATTTCGCAGCACCAATAAAAAGAAATCTCACAAAGGTTTAATAAACCAGTCCCCTGGTCCCGCTCAGCAGTGATTTCCTGAGGTCTCCTGTGCCTTCATTCCATTCTGTTCTACGTAATCCTCAACTCAAGCTCTACCAGTGATGTGGCTGCATGACTCTAAAACTGCTGCCGCCTTCAATGCAATTCTATGCGAGAATAGCAAAACTAAACCACATCTAAAATTGAATTATGCTTAAATGTCACATTTTTAATGAGTCACAAGATGCAATGTTTTATTCATGCTGACATGCAATAATAATAATAATAATAATGATAATAATAATATAAAAACAACAATTATAATAAGAAGAATAAGAATAAGAATAGCAACAACAACAAAATCCTTTGTAAATCAATGCTGGGACCTGGGAAAGCCTTAGTTTTTGCATTTGAAGCAAGCTCCCTTGGCTTCACTCCCCATAAAGACCACCTACATAAAAGCTAATAGGAATTTGCCTGCACCCTGTATTCTAATATATGGATGTGGGATTCAAAACCATCGCAAGCTTTTGGTCCCACAGATAGACTAAAAAAAAAAGTATTTTCATGCATTCAAGCTAAAAAACATATGCAGTGGATAAAAATAAGTAGGATTAACAATGTATTTTTAGCCACTTAATAAATCCTGATCCCACCAGAGAGAATCACTTTTCTGACCTGTTGCCAGTTAATCCCAAACAACATGAAACATGCGCCTGCTGTTTCTGTTTAGCACCACATGTTGCTGCGGTCACATTCAAGTTCTGTTGACAATGATGGTAAAATCTCTCACTTTTCTGTTTTATTGTTGACTACAGATGATTTATTGAGGAGTCCCAACCTTTAGGAATTGTATTTTTCTGTTAGACAACACAGGGAACTGGTTCCATGCTGGAGATTTATGATACTGTTAGAATAATTCAAACCAGCATGTATTGCATATGTTGAAGACAGGATTAGCAATTCTATCAACCTTTGTGGTTGGCTTATTATTTGTTTTGTAACTAAAGTTCTTTCAGCGGCAATCCATCACAATGATAACGATTATGAAGATGCAACAGCAAAAAAATCACAGTATGCAGAGATAAGACAGAGATTAAGCCACTTCCTGTGTATTTTTGACCAAAAGTGACAGCAGATTTATTTGTTAGACTTCATCCTGTCAGGTTTAGGTATCCTGAGCAAATAACTCAGGATGTGTAAATTATTAGCTTTCCCAAAGGTCTGAAACAACTCTCAACCCGTTCTGTAATAGATTAAAAGGATTTCAGTCATTTTCTCACAAACTTTGACTGTAGCTTTTGATCTTATTCGCTAAGACGCAAAGCTTAAATTTTGAATGCTGTGGTTTTCTTTCCACTTCCTAAAAAAATATTACAGGGTTAGGTTTAGTGCTTTTAAGTGTGTCTTTTACTCCTGCTGAAGTTACCACTCTTCACCAGCAGACGTCTCTCAAGCTCCACTCTGATCAAACACGCTGCTGACACGTGAACCCAGATGCAATTTAAAGTAGACAGAGGTTCTGTGGGTAGGGGGGGTGGGGGGTCCGATGAAGGGAAGAGAAAAATAGCAAAAGAAACTAATTGTCAAATATTTGCTCCACAGTGAAAGGAACTCAGATTGCCTCCATTAGAGTGAGACACATTTGGAAACCCTCTTCTTCCCTCTCACCCCCCCACACGCACCTTCAAAAGTCTCTACCTCCTTCCCCACCAATCTGTCCCCCACCAACAGTCTGTCCCCCCTTTCATATATTTTTTCCGGTAGTTTCCATTAGTGATGAATCACTTGCCACTATCTCCTGATATCAGTGCGGAGGAAAATGCTAGCAGAATTCTAAAATTGATTTGAAAGCGTGCTTTCTACTGATTAGGCACTTAAAAAAAGAGCAGGCAGTTGTAATGGCCCTGGTGTCTGTGGGTGCGGAGAAAAAATGTGATAAAAGAAAGTTCAGTTAGATGACAAACTTTTCCCCCTGAAACACTCCTCTTCTCTCTTCTCAACTAAACAATGTACCAACACCTGACAGAGTTCCAAAGCCATAACTGTTTTTTTTCCCATTCATCCGCCTTTATTAGAGCATATTTGCTGCCAAAGCAATATGTCAGAGCAACATCTATTGTTGGGAGGTATAAATAGGCTCCAATTTTTTTTCCTCCCAATGTACCATCTGTTACCTCCTCAGCCTCGTCCCAGAGTAAAAGTTGCCATTTAATCCGTCTCAAATCCAAGGAGACGTGCCATCTCTACAGCTTTGAGTTTAAATATCCCTGTGTTAGTTCCACCTCATCACATTTAAATTCAATTCAATTCAATTCAATTTTATTTATATAGCGCCACATCACAACAACAGTTGTCTCACAGCGCTTTCCAAACAGAGCAGGTCAGACCCTACTCTGAAGTTAACTACAGAAACCCAACAATTCCCACTGTTCTGTAAGAAGGGCTTAATTTAATGGAGTGTAAAGACATTTTCCTCACCTCGACCGAATAGTTTTGAAACATTCGTGACCCTAACAAAATATCAAATGAGGAAAATAAGAATCACAAACAGTATATTGTGAGAATTGGTTAAAAAAACACATTGCTTTTTTACTGGAGATGAACTTTAAAAATACGTTTTAATTCATAAATGTTGTTAAAAGGCTCTGATAGTGAAATAAAAACTTTACCATAAAACCATAACAACTTCAGTCATCGTAAATTTTAGTTTATGTCTCTGAGGAGGATAAAGATCTTCTGATCATCATCCCATCTTTGTGTTATTGAGATAAAACTTCAAGTGAACAACAGCATATTAAAGATTTTACTGTTTTGTGAGTGAGCCAAAATGCAAAAACAGTGAAAGCTGCTGTTGCTGCCAATTTGGGATAGGTTATAAGGCCATCTAAAAATGATTGGAAGTCCATCATATTACAGAGAAAGAGATTTATTTAGAAATGGAAAATATTTAAGACATTCCAGTAATCTCACACCAAGGTCAGATTGTATAATGCTCCCAAAAGCCCAACTGCTACAGGCCAGACTCTACAGGTCTCTATTTAGTAAGTTAAATACTGAAGTCTAAGAGAGGAAAAAGCCTGTTCTCTCTAAAACGAACATGAGAGCAAAGATTAGTTTTTGTAGCTGCTTAATAGATCACCTGAGTCAAAGACAATAATCCCAAATGCAGCATAAAAACCACCACCGAATATCTGAAAAAGAAAGGAATCGAGATTCTGAGATGTTCCAGTCAAAGTCAGGACCTTGGTCTCATTGACATCTGGCGATGTGACCTGAAAAAAGCTTTGTGTAAATAAACTATTCAACTTTCAATTAACTGATTATTGAGGTTTAATGGACTGACGCAACTTTGTGAGGATTAACATTGAAAAAAGTTGGTTCTAAAAGCTGTGTATTCATAGGGTGTACTCAGTTTATCCTATGAGGATGGAGCTATCTTATTTATCAGAGACTTTATCTGGTAAGAACCTGGTGATTTGTTTTTAATCTTAATACATCCATTTTAGATTAAGAATTGGCAGGTGCGTTCTCTCAAAAACTGTTCTTAAAAGATGAGTCGCGTCTGCTACAATCTGTCCCAATCTTAGCAGAAGTTTTGAGCAGGTATGATTAGATTGACTAGATTGAAGAGATGAGTTCTCAGTCTCTTTTACGTCTTTTCAGAAATGCACACCGACAACACAGAGATGATGCAAACGCTTCAAAGCTCTTGGCCATATTGGTAAAACCGTGCACACAATTTTTTGCAAAGTCACCAGATGTCCTTTCTGTTTGTCATGTTCTCCCATTCCCTCTCTGGTCAGCTCTTTCAGTATGTCTCCTTTCCTAAGGTTTCTCTTCTCATAAGACTCTTGACATACTGGCTGAAGGCAGCTCTTTCTGCTCTGTCAGGTACAATAACTAGGTGATGTGTGTATTGCAAGCGCGTGCGACTATGCGAGTGCACGTGTGCAGCTGAGATGCATCAACCCATTACCGTGGGTCATTGCAGAGTGAGAGCACATCCCTAATTCAATCACACACACTCGGCGCACGAAATCAAGCTTGGCTAACGTGCACAAACTTAGGAAAACTTCTGTCTTTGTTTAGGGGCTGCCATGTTGTTTTCAGGTTCACCCAAATCTGACCCTTTTAGCTTGAAGGCTAAGAGTCAGCCAGCCTGGTGGCGGAAGTTACTAATGTGTTTGCTAAAACGAATGAATAAGCTCAAATCTGACGTCCGCTGTTGTGGCAATATGAGTCCCCCCCCCCAAAAAAAGATGTCAACAGCATATCTGTTTTAAAAAAAAATCTTTTAAAGCCACACGGATTTTTTTTCGACATAATTTTGACAATAATATTCACTGGTGGCTAACAATTTGCAGATTTAATGTTACAGATTCTCACAGTTAATGCCTACCACAAGCCAGAAGCAAGCAAGAATTATTTATACTTAAAATGTGCTTTTGTTTTTCATTTTAGAAGCTGGACGGCTGGAAAAGACTAGTTAAAAAAAAAAGGTAATCAAACATACTGAATTATGTTGCTTTTTAAAAATGGATCCACTACAACAGCATAAAAAATGTCTATATACTATAATGTAAAAAATATTGAGGCAAGGCAAAAAAAATTAAAAGAAAAGAATCCTGTGTATTTTTTATGTTCAATCCTCCGTTACCTTGACACAATGGAAGCTGCTGGGATGCTTAAATATCAGATACATGTTTTGGATTCGTCTTGACACCAAGATGGTTTATACAGCGTATGTAATTTAGGGGAAACAATTCACCCAATTTGGTCAAGAAACCAGAAATACCTCTGCGCTTAAGAGGTTAA